GATGGACCAAACCTTCAATGTTTTATCCCAAATTCATCTTCCCTTCCTTTGTTATGTTGGTCAAATACTGTGTCCCAACAATGAGAAAAATAATTCCTGTCATCCTTCAATGCACACACTCATAGAAAGGCAAGCTGGTTGAGAGCTATCCACCACTAGAGGACTTTGTTTCTAACACATATTTAGTAAACTCTTTCTCTAACAATTGTGGAAACTTAAACCTCGGAAAACAGCATCATAGTTTGTATTAGACTTCTCAAAACAAAATGTATAAAGGGAAGAATAACTCTTTTGGTGCTTTTTATTAAAAATAAATAAGCAGATGTAACATAAAACACAAGAATAGCAGGTTTCTGGAAAGGTAAAGGAGGAGCACTGCTTCATAAGCTCTGGATGTGAGGAGCAGAAGACCACAGTGAGTCTTGGATATCTTTTGATTTCACAGAATAAGAGGATAATGCAGAGTGTCTAACCCAGGACCTTCAAAAGACATAGCCAACAACGCCCTAAGAAAAGCTTGTGCTTCCTGAGGAGAAAATGAGGGAAAGAATTGTCTTAGAAGAATTGAAACTACGCGGCATACTTGCCACAGTTCAGAAAAATATTAATGAAAGTCTAGTAGCCTTCCATTTCCACAACTTTCACAGGCACAAGGGAGGGACTGATTTCACCCCAATTCCCTTCTTTATGGACAGACAGCTCTGCTGGTGAAATGAGCTTCCATTGTCAACTGGCAGTCCTAGACCTGGTGAGATGGTGCATTGTGGCACTAGTCAGTAATTTGCCCCTCCCTTGTGATAAGGCCCTGTGAGGAGGTGAGGCTCCACCCTTACCTGCAACAAATCAGTGTGAAATAGTTTTCCATTTCCCCCTTCTCTGTGGGCACTTTACCCCAAGAGTGAGCAGAAGTTCCTCAGACAGGGATTCACACAAGACAGGAATCTTCTCCAGGAAGGAGTTTAGAGGGCTGAGGATGCTGAATTTCCACATAAAATGAGGAAAATGATTGTCTTAGAAGAATAGAAACTACTTGGGGAATACTTGTCTGCAAATATTAATGAAAGGTTAGTAGCCTTCCATTCCCACAGGTTTCACTGGCACAAGGGAGGGACTGATTTCCCCCCAATTCGCTTCTTTAGGGACGGGCAGTGCTATGGGTGAAATGAGCTTCCATTGTCAACTGGCAGTGACTTTCTAGGGATTCACTGGACAGCAGGAGTCACAGCTAATGACATCTTTCACAAACTGAATGAATAAAGAGATGTCAATACTAACATGAATTTCCATGTCACCTTAGTTACAAATTCAGGAAGATTTATAAAGCCTTTGTTTGTGAAAACCCAAAGAAATGCAGACCAAGGTGCATCATAATTAAACTTTGAAATCGAAGTGAGAAAGTTCTTGAATGTAGCCAGAAAATAGTTAATATGTAAAGGGAAAAATCATTCTGAAGGACACTTTTTCCACTCTTAATCATGAAAAAAAAGGAAGGGTTCTAACATTTAGAATTTACCTGTTTGTTGTTTACTTTGTTTTTCCTTTATTAGTGTTTGTATTTGATGTGTGATTGCTGAAGTGTGGATGCAACCAAGCAGATGTAGGGGTCAGAGAATAACTTTTTAGGAGTCTGTTCTCCCCTTGACTGATTTGAGGCACAGTTTCTCTCAGTTCTGTTCACCTGCATTCTCCAATTGAGCTGACCCGGAGCTTGCAGGGGATTTTCCAGTCTCTGCCTCCATCTGGCCATAGGAGTACTGGGTGCAGATGTGCTCTACCACATCCATCCTTTTACATGGGTTTTAGGGATTAATTTCACATTTTTAGGTTTAGCCAGAAGGTCTTTTCACAATAAGCAATCTTTCCAGCCCTGTTCTTTTCAGTGCACGTAAAAGTTTGTTCTCCCAGTCCATGTACTTTCCCTCCAGTGCAAGTTTTTCTAACACAGAATGTTATGAATTTAGCATTTTTTACCCATCATTGATTTTGAGTTCAACAGACTATCAGATTTTTATAAATGATTTATCTATGTTATGTAAAACAAATTCTCTTAGACAAATATGGTGTAGATATATAGAAATTGAAACAGTAAACAATTTAAACTGTAAAGGTTAATTAAAGAAAACGATGAGCCTTTGACTATCCTCACCATTGTAGATTCCTGGGGAAATAATATTACAGGAGATCTACAGAGAGGGTTGTCCTATAATGATAAAATTTTTGAAATGATAAAATGATGAAATGAAAAAGGGATGAGCTGTCAGAAATTAGACCAGAATTGGGCTGAGAAGGAAATTCTTGTGGTTGAGGATAGGGGCATGAACATCGCTGAGCTGATTTGATTCTTCTGCATCTTGGCTGTGCCACCATTCAAAAGTTGGCAAGATGATTATTTGAAGGTACAGTGTCAAAATGAACAGTCGTAGTGTTATCTACTCCACTTGCATGTGAATTTCTGATTACTTATAAATTGATGTATTGATACAGATTTATGTATGATCATCTAGAGAAGCATGTAAAACAACTTTATTTCCCCCAATAAACCCTAACTTTATTTCCAGAAACGTTTTTAAATTTTGAGTTAAAACCACTTTATGATACTTTACACTTATGTCTCATGAGAGTTCCAATAAAAACAGAATGACTT